CCTGCCTTTTGTCTATCACAACACCCGGCTCCTTTCCTTTTTCTATCACAGCACCCCGCCGCTCGACTCCTCGTGGAAACGTCCGACCTACTTGTCCGGTTGGAGGATGCTGGACCGGTTCACATACAGGCTGCGTAACAATCCTCCCCTCCCAAAAACGTACTTTGCACTCAAGGTGGAAGGATAGAAATTGCTTCACATACAGGCTGCGTAACAATCCTCCCCTCCCAAAGACGTACTTTGTACTCAAGGTGGAAGGATAGAAATTGTCTGTGGATAAGCGGAAGACTAGACCTCACTAAAAATGAGGTCAGCAGTGGATCACCTCGTAAGACTTCCATGTTGCTTCATAGCTTGGCAATCATTTCCACTTCACCAATATCTCCTCGCCTCCCCTCACTCCTTGACACACTCCTTCGATCTCTAGTGACTCAAAAATCACTTCCAAGTCCTCCTTCAGCGTCGGCAGTAGTGTAAACGAGAGTGTATGATCTCCAATCGCATGTCTCAGCTGTGAGACATGTAAAACCGAGTGTAGTGCGAACGATGGTGGTAACTTCAAACGATAGGCCACTGCCTTGATGCGTGTCATCACCGCATAAGACCCAAAGTATCATGATGACTTTTTCTCGCTTCTCCTCCTGGCTAATGTTTTCTATCAGTAGGGCCTTAGTTTCAAGTAAACCATGTCTCTTCGTACAAATTGCATCTCTCTTCTATGTTCGCTCACCTTCCTCATCATGATTTGTTGAGCTCTGTTAGTATCCTATCCATCTCTTCCAAGTACTGATCGAAGTTGGATACCGATTTAGTACCATGCTCATAATGTATCAAGTAAGGTGGATACCGCCCATACAATACCTTGAAAGGGGTTATCCGTGTTGCAATGTGGTACAAAGTGTTATACCAATACTCTGCCCAAGTAATTCGTTTAGCCTATAGCTTCGATGTATCGGATACAAAATAACGCAAGTATGTCTCCACACTCCTATTGACCGCCTCTGTTTGCCCATCAGTCTGAGGATGATATGTGGCACTTCTTTTAAGGACTGTCTATTGCAACATGAGTAACTCCTTTCTTGA